GAAAAACCTCTCTGGTCCATTAAGTTCAGTAACAAGATGCATTTAAGGTGCAGATTACTAAATCAGTTTAAAGTATTACACCTAAAAGACTTTAACCACACTGCAAGTGGTTCAATAAGTAAACTCTGGCAGACCTTAAATAGCTGGTAAATCTCCACTTTGGGAGCTGCCAAGGGAAAAAAACAGATCTTTAGGGATTCAGTTAGTATGAACAGGTCTGGGATGTATTTATTTGCATTAAGCAAAATATTTTTATGGACAACATAGTGAATGATACTCCAATAGCTTTTATTCTGTGCAAAAAGGGGGGTACATGATCTTTAAGGTTGCTTCCAACCCAAACTATTTATGATTCTATGAGGTTGCTAATTGCTCCATTAAAAACTCATTCAAAACTGAGTTATCTTTGACAGGGTTGCACACAAAGAGCACCTGTTAGTAAAGAAGGAATTCTATTTCTGCAACCCTAAAGGTTAAGGATGTGTGAAATCCAAAAATGCAAGCACTTACTCATGCAATTTGTGCAGACAGCAGGTGAGCACCCACAACTTCAGGGATGCAAATCTTTTTAAAGAAATAATGAACACTGCTGATTAGGAAAGCAAATATGGGTTAGGAACACCCACTGCTCTCAGAAAACTGAGACCACAGCTGATGTTACAGACTGGAGTGCAGCTGAGGATCAATTCCTAGATCCCCTCCTGGCTCTGCCAGGAACAGCTACAGAATACAGAATACTTCATGTTTTGTGTGTCTGCTGCTTCAGGAGGGCAGTGACACCTGGGTCGCTGGGTTTCTTTGGGTAGAAAGTGCAAAGAGAGTCAAGTACAAAAACAAATTAACAGATATTTACACAAGAGTCTGTATACTTTACTTGAAGGTCTCTTTCTAGAAGGAACAACTCCTTTTCTATCAAATGTCCGGAAGGCACAGCAAGCCTTGGAACTCTGAAGATCTGCACAGCCTGTGCTAATGCCACATTATCTGCTGCGACAACAAAGATCTACTCCTGGCACACACAGCTCCAAAAGGCTCTTTGTGAGCTCCCAACTCCTCTGAACCCCCACACCCTGAATTGTTTTACAGTCCCAGTTCCCTTGTTCTCCTCACAATCTTCTTCTTGTTAGACTCTCCAGGTATTTTATTTAACAGGACTGTCCAGCTGCTCCCCAGATTTCCGCTCCCTTTTCAAGGGCTCTGTAGAAAGCTTTGCTAACAGATGCACTATCCCAGCCCAACAACAGGATGTTGTAAACCTCCAGCTACTGTGTGCTTTTCATATGGATATGCTAATGGCCACACTATCAGCACACAGCTGTAAATGCAAATGCCAGAGCACAGGCTGAGCATCTTTTATGGGTGTTTAACCACCTTCTGTCTTGTAAGGGAGCAGCTCCCTGCTATTTGTAAGATAAAAAGCAGCTAGCTCACCTCGTGTCAATGCTGTGTAAATCGATTAAGACAATAACAGCATGGCACTGGGGCTCTGTTAGGGCTGGCTCCAGGAGAAGCCTTTAAGACACCGATGGCCCTTCTGATCTCATCCCTGGGCCTTCTGATGTGCTCCACAGCATCTGCCAGTGAACTGCACACGCTGGGAAGAGATGGGTGGGGTTGATGTAACTTTTTCAAAGCAACAAAGTTATGCCACAGTAAGTTAAACAATCAAGAAACATTATGTCTTAAAAAGTTTTAAAGGGATAAATTATCTTATCGAGCCACTTTTGGCTTTTTTAGCCACCCACTGCTGTAATATCCCCACCTAAAGATAACAACAGCCCCTGGAGAATTTAGAGACATTCCTGGCTCCAGGACTGCCAATACCCTTTGGCACACGAGTGCCTGGCTGCCACAGTCTGGATGAGTAAAAAGGATCCAGATTCACTTTATCCCTTGAGCACAGGACATAAACTCTGCCCAACAAACACTCCCGTGGTTCACTTTCTCAGCCTCCTACCCACCAACCCCTCTCAGGGTACACTGAATCCTTCATATTTCACAGGTAAGATTTATCAGGGCTGCAGGTACATCAGCAATCAACAAAGCATTCCCAGCTGCCACATTCAGTGTTTCACCACAGGTTATACCAATTGTTGATGCCTTGCTCAGGAGGGTCTCTACAGCAGTGAATGCCACCTTGCTCAGGGTGTTCCAGTGTCCATCAGCTTCTCTGGCCATGTTTCTGCTCCATCTGACTACTGCTGGCTAAAAACAAACAAATAAGAGGGAAGCAGCCATCACAAATAGAAACCAGGCCAAATTCTGCTGGCAGAAATTAGGCTGCTGCTTTCACAAACACTAACTTACATAACTGCACAGCAGAACTCAGCTGAAAACAGGAGAAATAATGCAGCAAATGCAGTTGTAGGAGGTCAGGACAGCTTCAGTCACATGAGACCAATGACATATTAGTATGTTTACTTATCATTTTTATTGGAGTGTACTGTATGTTGTTACACTAAGTTAATTGCTGTAATGGGGAGGTGATGTAGCAAGACAGTCTAAAAAGAACAGGTCAGCTGTCCTGTTGGAAGAGTCCTTATCTGTACTCTGAGTTATCAAAATGGGATTTAAGGTTTCTGTTGGACATACATACGTACTAAAAGATGTTACACAGCTCCTTTAGCAGAGGACCACAGCAATTTGAATTAGTTATAAGGTTCCTTGCTATCTGCAATTATGGCTCTTTAATTGATTAAAAAAACAGAATTAAAAAAGAGCTCCTTTTAGCTTTGATCCATCTGCTTGAAACCACCCAGCTGTACTGTGACACAGGCACAAATATTAATGAGCAACTGGCAATAGGATAATGAGTCAATAAAGAGTTTAAATGGTGTGAGCCAGAACAATTACTAACCTAATAGGCAGATAAATAAGGCTACTTGACTTTACCCAAGGAAAATGATTATTCTTCACCACTTATATTGAATGACCTGGAAAAAGTGGTTTGGTGGGATATTTTTCCCTTCTTCTGTTTCATCTACATCCACAGTTTCTCCACTGTTCACCAAATCCTGCCCAAATGAGATCAGCTTTCCCTGCACAGCATTCCAGAGCCTTTTGCTGGATTGCATCTCCAAACCCTCCTCAAAGACCCCCACAGCCCTCCCAGACAGGCAGACAGATCAGATTCGCTGCCAAGGGCTTCCTCTGACTAACAGGCAAAAAGGGCTTACACATTCCCAGGATTTCCAGAGAAAAATTTCCTACATTTAGCCCAAGGCCAGAGTTTTGCTGTTGTTCTATCAGCATATTTCTGACATTAGAATAAGTTAAACTGCAGTTTAAGTTGCCTCCATGCAGGAGGTTTCAGCAAATGCAGAGACAAAGGTTATTTAACAACAGCCTACAACCTGACAAAAGATGAAGTTTAAAATTTAAAAGCAAAAAACAACGTCAAAAGCACTTGGTGAACCACGACACAGGTATTATTGGATATGTCCTGGTTTCTAAAGGAAGGATCTGATCTCTGACAGTATTTATGCAGTGGTTGTCATTTATCCTTGGTTTGACCAAGCCTGGAGGCCTTGGCTATGATCTGGACTGTCCCAGGCTGTGCTGTGCACATGCACAATCTCCTGAAAGAACCACAGGCCACAGGATTTCAACAGCAGCAACTTCTCCCTCTGCCTAGTTTCACTGAACTACCTGGGAATGCTGCTCTCCCCTTGGCAGTCCTGGCACCTGCAGCTTCTCCTGGCCAGGTGAGCAACAAAAACTGGCCAAGAGCCTCAATAAGGCTTAAACTTACTTCAAATATTCCTCTCTGACAGCACTGGGAACTCTGATCCATCTGACAACATCTTCTGTGCATCCTATGTGTGTTTCAAGAAATATGAACAAAGACATAATTATAGGGAAAAAAAAAAAAAGCAGCAAAGAGTTCTGTTATTATCACTTCATTTGGATCTTCTCTAGTTCTGCCTTTCCATGGTGGTTCCATCAACATTTGGGCACATATTTAACTAACCTCATATGATTAATTATATTGAATTCAATATTTCTTCCTGTATATTTTCCTGCTCAATAATGCACTCGTCCCAAGTGTGTCTGTGCTGAGTGGCCCCAGAGAACAGAAGCTGCAGAGGTGCTCGCCAAGCAGAGCTGTCTGTGTTTCACAGGGATTCAGAATTTAGACATTTAAAACATTGCAAGTGGGGTACATGCAGCAGCACGGAATCACACAATGGTTTTGGCTGGAAGGAATTCTAAAGATCCAATCTCCTGAGATGGACAAGGATGCATTCCACTATCCCAGGTTGCTCCAAGCCCCATCCAGCACTTGCCAGGTGAAAGAGATCTGGATTTCCCACAGTGGGTGAACGAAACATAGAGAGCCAAAAGGCTCTTCTGGAAATTCACCACCACACAATCAATACCTGTGTTTAAACAAAGTTGTCCCTGTGGCCACTGCTTTCCCCTGGCCCCATCCTGCTCCTCTGCTCAAGAAGGGCCAATACAGACACACTGGCCAGTCAACCTAACTTATAAAAGTTAGTTAAGTTAAAGTTACTTAGCTTGTGTTACCTGGACAGCATCACCCAGGTAAAAGTGAAGGAATTCCCTACCTGTGGGCACTGGGAGTAACTCACCAAGACCACACTTTGCTTTTGAGTCACTTCCAAGCTGGGCAATCATTAACCCCAGCACAGAAACTCTCCATTGCAGGGTTGCAAGTGCCCTGCAAGAAGTTCCAGCTAATTTGACAGCAGAGTTAATCAATTTACAGAAACACCAATGTGGGTAATAGCTAAAAAATGATTACCCGGGGATGGTGCCAGATTTCCCACACACTGCCAGCTCCTGCCACACGTGCAGTGCCACCAGCAAACAGCGCCCCGGACCCTTCCCTCCATCAGCTCTGCGGGCTGCCTTCCCTATGAGAACCCCCAAACGCACCAAGGTGCCCCCAAAAGCTCCCGTTTCCCGTCAGCGGGGCTGGCTCACACAGCTCCGGGCGGTGACCGGAGCCACCTCTGCCCGCTCCCCCACCCGCCCACCTGCGCACGGCCTCGGCCGAGCCGGCGATGGGGACGCCGCCGCCGGCGCCGCTGTCGTACAGGACCCCGCTGACATCGAGCAGCAGCCCCCTCACGGCCCGGGCCCAGCCGCGGCCCCGCTCCGCCATCGCCGCTCCGCCCCGCGCCCGGCGCTGCCGGGAAATGGAGTCCGGCCCCGCTCCTGGGAAATGCAGTCCCGGCCCCAATGGGAAATGCAGTCCGGCCCAACGGGAATTGCAGTCCCGGCCCAACGGGAAATGCAGTCCCGGCCCCAATGGGAAATGCAGTCCCGGCCCTCACGGGAAATGCAGTCCGGCCCCAATGGGAAATGCAGTCCGGCCCCAATGGGAAATGCAGTCCCGGCCCCAATGGGAAATGCAGTCCGGCCCAACGGGAAATGCAACGCCGACCCCGCTCCGGGGAAATGCAGTCCCGGCCCAATGGGAAATGCAGTCCGGCCCAACGGGAAATGCAACGCCGACCCCGCTCCGGGGAAATGCAGTCCCAGCCCCAATGGGAAATGCAGTCCCGGGAAATGCAGTCCCGGCCCTCACGGGAAATGCAGTGCCGGCCCCAATGGGAAATGCAGTCCCGGCCCCGGTATCCCCACCCATGGCAGCGGAGTGAAATGAGGTGATTTTTAAAGCCCCTTCCCACCCAAACCGTTCTCTGATTCGTGTGACAACCACGGGAAAAAAGCCCACTGACTCATCGTGCGAAGAATTTTACAATCGCAGATAAGGTGTTATCAGATGTGTTCCAGCTTTATGGATAGTATTGTTTTCTCCCAAATATCTTCTCCTCGCTAATGCCATCAATAGCATGGCACGATTCCCAGAATGTATAAGGAGCTGCGGTGGAATTATAGTCCGTTTTGTTTTAAGGAAAGCAGAGGAGCCTTGGCAGCATTGATTTGCATCGCCGCTTCTGGAACAGCTTCTGGCTTCTCCCTAAAGATAATATCTAAACTGTGAAATTCATTAAATAGACTCAGAAATGGATCAGGTTATTTAAAACAACATTACTAATGGCACAATATCTCAGCTGTCTGCCGCGATAGCGAACATTGTCTTGGATAGTGTTATCAGTCCAGGACACCCGCTATGAATATTGATCCACAGCTTGTTACAGCCATCACTTGCCGTCAGGACAGGTCAGGGTTGAAACCCACCTAGCATCAAAGCAATTTAAAGACAGCACTTGGGCTGAATTTTAATGCCTGAGCTGGGAAACAGACCAACTTCAGAGCGCTGGAACTAATCCATGAGTATGTGCCGTTCCACATGCACTATGTTTGTAGGTTGTTGTATACATACATGTGAAACTGATGAGATTTGAAAATGCCTTGTAGCTCACAGATTAATTTCAGTGCTGCAATTTACATTCTCAGCTCCTGCAGACCCAACAACTCAAACAGAAGTATTTGTAGTCTCAAATATATCAGATTTTTTTTCCTGGTTCACCACTTCCCACATTCCCAACTTAAGCCTTAGCCACCTGTAGCTTGTGGGTGTGAACTCCTCAGGTCTGAGCTCCCTTCTTTTCTACATTCTTGTGGTATTCTACCCCAGAGGCCAGTGCCAAATGGGCTCTTGGATAATTAACAGTTACTTTTAATCACATCACCCCTGCACATCATCATCTCATCTTCCTCCTCTCCCCTTATCTTAAATGTATGCCAAGAATTATTTGTGAGCCAAATTCTGCTGAGGCTGAGACAGCTATGAAGAGGAGGAGGAGGAGGAGGAGGGCTGTGCTCTGCATCTCTCCATTGGAATAGAAGCAGGTGAAGCAGCAGATTCCTATTGAGGGCTGCTTTCCCTGGCTGAAGGATGCCTTTCCCCAATCTGCCTGATGATTTGTGTCACCAACAAACGCTGAAATGCCAAGGAGAGGAAAAAGCATCCCCCTGAACAGATACAGGTGTGCAGAAATACACTGTATATGCGTTTTCAATAAGCAGGACTGGCTAGAAGTGGTCACAGGGCTGGTGCAGAGTGGGGAGGCTTGGCCTGCTGTCACCTACCCTGTCCCAGTTTTAGTGAGCAGGCAACAAAGTGTTTTCCCCCAAGACAAGGAGGGTTGGTTAGTGGATTACTCAGTGAATAGGAGCTCCTCCAGCACAGGCAGGCCTCAGTTTCCTTGCCTACTAACTGGTAATTGTTTGAACACCACGGGAGAGTTGCAGGAGTGGCCCAGAGTCTGATCTACACTGATCCCAAACTGCTCCCAAACGAAAAGCTGCTCCTTTCTCCCTGAGGACCAAGCAGTAACTTCACATCTCAAACAGTGGCTGCTGGCACAGGGAGCGCTTGGAGCTTGGATCCTGCCCAGCGCAGGAGAGGGATGCAGGAGCCACCCCTCCTCTCTGGGTCCCTCTGAGTACGAAACTCAGCCCGCTGGACCCGCACTGATGGGGACAGCTGCAGGTGGCTCAGAGGAGGGCGAGGGGACAGGTGCAGCCGGTGGCTCTCCGGACCCCGGAGGACAGCGGCTGCCGTCGGGCTGCCGGGTGCAGCCGCATCCCTGCCCCGGCGGAGGTCCCGGCTACGGTGCCTGGGGCTCCTGGCCGCCCCCTCCGCACCTTCCCCCGCCCAACCCGGGGTGGGTAACGGGAAAGCCCCATCGCCGAGAGGCTGGGATGGAGGGAGGCGCCCGCTGCGCCCCCGCGGAGCCAGCGCGGCGGGGAGGGGGCTCGGGGGCGGCGTGCCAATGGCTGCGCTGCCCCCTCCTCTGCCCCCACCCCGCCGCCGGCCCCTCCGCCTCCCCGGCCGACCCTCCTCCCCGCCGCTCACTCCGCGCCGACAGCGCCCAGCCTGCGGCTCCGGAGCGGCCCGGCTCCGCGCTGGGAGCCAGCAGGTCTCCGGGAAGCGCGGAGGGTGGGGTGGGATGCCGGAATGCCCGGACCGCGGGGCCAAGGCGGCCCCCATCCATCATAAAATCTCCTTCTCCATCTTAGACATCCTGGATCCCCAGAAATTCAGCAGAAGACGCGAACCGGCCTCGGGGAGCTGGGGCAGCGCCCCCCGCTCGGGCGAGCGGGAGAAAAGTTTGGGACGAGTTGAAGTAGGAAAGGACGCTGCTGCTCCAGGCAGCGGGAGGAATAAACTAGAGGCACATGGTAGGAACGCGCTCGCGTTTCTCCGGGGCGCGCAGGTGGAGGCGCCGGCACACGGGGACCCCCGGCCCCACGCCCGGCGGGACGCGCTCCCCGCGTGGGGTCCCACAAGAGCGAGGGAAAGGGGGGGCTGGAACTGGATTTTAAGTCTTGATGATGCAAAGGGCAAAGTTCTCGATATCCGCGTGCCCTGCCCGGCTCCCCGCCTGCGGAGCATCCTCTGCCGCCGGAGCAGGAGGGCGCACATCAGGGCGCGCCGCCGCCCCGCCCCGGCGCCGGACGGGCCGCGGCTCTTACCGAGGCACCGCACGGGTTCCTTTCCCCCAGCCCCCGGTGCTCTTTTCCCCGGGGCGGCAGCGGTCGGATGCCCCGGCCCGCGGGACGGCCGGCTGAGTAATTGCTCAGCCCGTCCCCACCGGAGGATGCCTTAGCTCCCGGTGATCGATATCCTATTACCGACTCCCGCCTATCTCCTCCCCGCAGCTTGCAGGTGCCCACTTCAAACCTCCTTCCCCCGGCCTGATCCTAATATTGTTCGATTAAAACTTACCTTTAATAGATGACATCTATCGATCTGGCCCTCGCAAATCTGAAACTCCATTAGCGCAGGGATAGGGAGGGGGGCAGGGGATTTATTTCGCTTCAGAAGGGGACTTTAATAACTTCTTTTTTAATTGGTAAGAAATCCACATCGACGGCTCCCCCCTCCCCACCGCGGATGCGGTGGCACAGCGGGGGACGCGGGGGGGGGGAGGGTGGTGGTCTCGCACGACGGGCGGAATTTTTCTGCCCTTTATTTTATTTTTAATGATTGCCCTTATGTCGAGGGGAGGGAGGGATGTGGGAGCAGAAGCGCCGGGTTCGGAGGGGAACGGGAGGAAGGATGCCCTATCCCCTGACGAGCCCCGCGGTCTCACCTAGATGCGCACACCCCGGCGGAGAGCGGCGCCGAGGACGCGGGGCAGGAGCGCGACGAGGAGGACCCGAACGGGGACGGGACCGGGACGGCGAGCCCGCCCGGGCCGGAGGAGCCGGGCTCGCCGCGGAGCGCCCGGCGGCGGCGGCCGGAGCCGGGCTGCGGGAAGCCGCGGCGGGCGCGCACCGCCTTCACCTACGAGCAGCTGGTGGCCCTGGAGAACAAGTTCCGAGCCACGCGGTACCTGTCGGTCTGCGAGCGCCTCAGCCTGGCGCTGTCCCTCAGCCTCACCGAGACGCAGGTGAAGATCTGGTTCCAGAACCGCCGCACCAAGTGGAAGAAGCAGCACCCGGGCGCCGACGGGGCGGCCCCCGCAGCATCCCCCGCGGCGGCGGCGGCGGCGGCGAGCGGCGGCAGCCCCAGCCCGCCGGGCCCCGCCGCTCTGCCCTTCCAGACTTTCCCTTCCTACGCCGCCGCCAACGTGCTGGTGCCGCCGGCCGCTCCCTTCCCGCTGGGCACCGGCCCCTTCGCACCCTTCCTGGGGCCCGCGTACCTCGGCCCTTTCTACGCCCCGCACCTCTGAGGGAGCAGCTCCCGGGAGCCAGGAGCGCACCTCAGCCCTTCTGAGCCAGCGGGGAACACCGTCATCACTTCTGCTGCTTGCGTGGCCATTGGAAGTGTAAGAAAGTTGATTTTTCCTAGGCGTCACGGCAGCACGCTTAACTTTGACACACAGAGAAAAAAACCTCTCTATAACCACTGGATTTTATTAGCACCTTTGAGATGTAATTATAGGTGTCGGAGATGGGAAAAGTAACCCTCTTTACACATGCCTGACACTAATTCCCTGCAGATTCTTCTCCAAGTTCATTGTTAAGATGCTCCTCGTTGCTGTTCGGCTTGCCAGCACGCGTCTGAAGCCTCGGGGGCTCGGGAGCTGTGGCACTCGTTAGCGCTGCTGAGATCCTGGTGCTGATGAGGGTGCAGGCGGCCGTGTCGAATCCCAGGGATGCTCGGCACTGAAGGCGTCCCCAGGCTCTGACTGTGCTCGTGGGACTCTCCTGAGCTCTGTTTGACCCACGTTTCGTTATCGTCTCTGCAAACTGCCAGTCACGTTCTTGGCACCCTACCT